CAGATTCTTGGCAGGGACACACTCAGTGTGGGGGGTGGGGGAAGGATTAGTTGGGATTTCAGCTTCTCCCGACTCCTTGGCCTTTTTAACGAGCAGCAGCATCCCAGGATTGGCTGCCGGGGGTGTTTGGGAGCTGTGCCCGTGTCCCTTTGCCGGTGTTTGCCGTGCCCGGGGCCGCAGGGGATGCAGGGGATGCAGAGCTGGGATTGCCATGGCAACCCACGCTGGCGATGGAGGCTCTGCTCGGCAGGAGCAGCTCTGGGGGGGGGGCTCCGAGCCCTGGCAAGGGGGAGGTGTCGGCCACGGAGCCCCCTCCCCAGTTCCCGGCATTCCAGAGAATCCCTTTGCCCTCCCAGTTAAAAGTTTTAATGGGGACAACTGGAGCTGAGCGTGCCAGGGAATGGGAAAAGGGAAAGTGAGCAAATATTTGAGGGCTGTGGAATCTCGTGTTCACAGGAAACCTCACGGCTGTAAACATAATTATTTTGGACATCCAATATCTCTGTGAATGTTCCCACGTGGGAAATCTCTTTTTTTTTTTTTTTTTTTGTGGAACGTGGAGCTTGGGTTGGAAATTTTGCATTTAAAGGTGGAAACATCACGTGTGCTGCTGGTCAGGGGAAACCCCAGCTCCTTCCCTTCCTGTTCCCTGGAACCTGCCTGGCTCCTGCTGTGGTTTTTTTTTTTTTTGGGATTCAGCTGAGGGAAGCTGGTGCTGGCACCGCTGCTCTCCCCTCAAACCTGGATCAGATTTGTTCTAGAACCTGGGCAGAGCTCCTGGAGCATCCCCAGCCCAATGGCTGGAGGAATAAATCTTTAATGGAGCTGCAGCTAAATATAATGAGATGGAAGAGGCAGTGCCAGAAATCCTGGAAGGAGCTTTTGCTGTGGCTGGGGTGGCCCGGGGTGGTGGCACACACAGTGCCAGCCTGGCTGGGCTCGGGTTTGGGCACCTGCAGCCTCCAGGCTGGTTCTGGGGGAGCTGAAAACCTTGAGCTGGCCAGGGCTGGGTGCTGGGGACAGGGGTGACAACAGCAAAGTGTCCCTGCAGGGACAGGACACAGGGAATGGATCCCACTGCTCAGGGATAGTGGGAGGGAATAATTCCCAGGTCAGGACACTGGAATTGGATCCCACTGCTCAGGGACAGGGATACTGGAGGTGTCCCTGCAGGGACAGGACACAGGGATGGATCTCATGCCCAGGACAGGGATACTGGGAAGGAATCATTGCCAGGACAGGACACAGGGATACTGGGAAGTGTCCCTGAAGTGACAGGACACAAGGATGGATCCCACTGCTCAGGACAGGGATAGTGGGAAAGAATTCTTCCCTGGGGCAGGACACAGGAATTGGATCCCAGTGCCCAGGACAGGGATACTGGGAAGTGCCCCACCCCTGGGACACTGGTGGCTGTCACTGCCCCATTCCTGGAAGAGTCCAAAGCCACTCTGGAGCAGCCTGGAAGGTGCAGGGAGTGGAACTGGATGAGCTTTGAGGTTGAGGATTCTGTGATTTCCCCTCCCTGCCAGCTGGATCCCTGCATCCTCACGCTCAGGGCCACCATGATCCCGGTGACTTGGGCTACCTGAGTCAGGCTGAGTGGTCACTGCTGGGTGTCCCTGCCTTGGCACGCTGTGCCAGCACGTTCCCAGCCTCTGGAATTGCTAAGAAAAGCATCAGGTGTAACCCAATCACCGGGAGAGGAGGACAGCCAGGAATGTTTGCAGCTCTGTGGGGACCCCTTGGAGCAGCTCTGGGCTCTGTGGGGTTGTTCCCTCCATGGGGAGGAGGCTCCAGGCTGGGTTAGATCACGATTTTCCAGGCTGGGAATGTTGGTTGTGCTGCTTGGGTTGTCCCAGCCACCCCCAGCAAGAGCTGAGTGTCCATTGGGGATTTTCCTCCAAGTTGGGATATTTGGGATCATCCTTGGGGTGCTTGAGAGCAGCTGGAGCTGAGGGATCTTTGGGGTTGGCTGGGTTAAAACCCAGAGATTCTGAAGGATCTGTGCCAGGGAGCTGAGCTGTGGGGTCAGGGGGGGAAATTTGGGGTGGATTTGGGATGATTTGGGGAGTTTGGGGTGGCTGTGGCTGAGGGATCCTTGGGGTTGGCTGGGTTAAAACCCAGAGATTCTGTAGGATCTGTCCCAGGGAGCTGAGCTGTGGGGTCAGGGGGGAAATTTGGGGTAGATTTGGGATGATTTGGGGAGTTTGGGGTGGCTGTGAATGTCCTGGGAAGGAGCTCCCTGCCAGCAGGAGGCCCGAGCTCTCCTGGTTCATTATTTGTGTCATTGATAAGGAGCTGCTGGGGCTGGCGGGGGAATTTTGGGGGACAGGAGGAATTTTGGGGTGTCTGATCCCGTGCCAGGCTCGGCTCTGGCCGCTGTTGTGGATCCTGGTGTTTGCCTTGGAGCTGGAGATGTTTCCACAGCTGGGATTAACCCCTGGGAGCCCGGACTGGGCTNGGAAACCTCACGGCTGTAAACATAATTATTTTGGACATCCAATATCTCTGTGAATGTTCCCACGTGGGAAATCTCTTTTTTTTTTTTTTTTTTTTGTGGAACGTGGAGCTTGGGTTGGAAATTTTGCATTTAAAGGTGGAAACATCACGTGTGCTGCTGGTCAGGGGAAACCCCAGCTCCTTCCCTTCCTGTTCCCTGGAACCTGCCTGGCTCCTGCTGTGGTTTTTTTTTTTTTGGGATTCAGCTGAGGGAAGCTGGTGCTGGCACCGCTGCTCTCCCCTCAAACCTGGATCAGATTTGTTCTAGAACCTGGGCAGAGCTCCTGGAGCATCCCCAGCCCAATGGCTGGAGGAATAAATCTTTAATGGAGCTGCAGCTAAATATAATGAGATGGAAGAGGCAGTGCCAGAAATCCTGGAAGGAGCTTTTGCTGTGGCTGGGGTGGCCCGGGGTGGTGGCACACACAGTGCCAGCCTGGCTGGGCTCGGGTTTGGGCACCTGCAGCCTCCAGGCTGGTTCTGGGGGTGCTGAAAACCTTGAGCTGGCCAGGGCTGGGTGCTGGGGACAGGGGTGACAACAGCAAAGTGTCCCTGCAGGGACAGGACACAGGGAATGGATCCCACTGCTCAGGGATAGTGGGAGGGAATAATTCCCAGGTCAGGACACTGGAATTGGATCCCACTGCTCAGGGACAGGGATACTGGAGGTGTCCCTGCAGGGACAGGACACAGGGATGGATCTCATGCCCAGGACAGGGATACTGGGAAGGAATCATTGCCAGGACAGGACACAGGGATACTGGGAAGTGTCCCTGAAGTGACAAGACACAAGGATGGATCCCACTGCTCAGGACAGGGATAGTGGGAAAGAATTCTTCCCTGGGGCAGGACACAGGGATGGCTCCCAGTGCCCAGGACAGGGATACTGGGAAGTGCCCCACCCCTGGGACACTGGTGGCTGTCACTGCCCCATTCCTGGAAGAGTCCAAAGCCACTCTGGAGCAGCCTGGAAGGTGCAGGGAGTGGAACTGGATGAGCTTTGAGGTTGAGGATTCTGTGATTTCCCCTCCCTGCCAGCTGGATCCCTGCATCCTCACGCTCAGGGCCACCATGATCCCGGTGACTTGGGCTACCTGAGTCAGGCTGAGTGGTCACTGCTGGGTGTCCCTGCCTTGGCACGCTGTGCCAGCACGTTCCCAGCCTCTGGAATTGCTAAGAAAAGCATCAGGTGTAACCCAATCACCGGGAGAGGAGGACAGCCAGGAATGTTTGCAGCTCTGTGGGGACCCCTTGGAGCAGCTCTGGGCTCTGTGGGGTTGTTCCCTCCATGGGGAGGAGGCTCCAGGCTGGGTTAGATCACGATTTTCCAGGCTGGGAATGTTGGTTGTGCTGCTTGGGTTGTCCCAGCCACCCCCAGCAAGAGCTGAGTGTCCATTGGGGATTTTCCTCCAAGTTGGGATATTTGGGATCATCCTTGGGGTGCTTGAGAGCAGCTGGAGCTGAGGGAATCCTTGGGGTTGGCTGGGTTAAAACCCAGAGATTCTGAAGGATCTGTGCCAGGGAGCTGAGCTGTGGGGTCAGGGGGGGAAATTTGGGGTGGATTTGGGATGATTTGGGGAGTTTGGGGTGGCTGTGGCTGAGGGATCCTTGGGGTTGGCTGGGTTAAAACCCAGAGATTCTGTAGGATCTGTCCCAGGGAGCTGAGCTGTGGGGTCAGGGGGGAAATTTGGGGTAGATTTGGGATGATTTGGGGAGTTTGGGGTGGCTGTGAATGTCCTGGGAAGGAGCTCCCTGGCAGCAGGAGGCCCGAGCTCTCCTGGTTCATTATTTGTGTCATTGATAAGGAGCTGCTGGGGCTGGCAGGGGGAATTTTGGGGGGCAGGAGGAATTTTGGGGGACAGGAGGAATTTTGGGGTGTCTGATCCCGTGCCAGGCTCGGCTCTGGCCGCTGTTGTGGATCCTGGTGTTTGCCTTGGAGCTGGAGATGTTTCCACAGCTGGGATTAACCCCTGGGAGCCCGGACTGGGCTATCCTGAGAGGGCTGGGACAGGGACATCCCACCGGGAATATCCCTGGGGTGGGACAGGGACATCCTGAGAGGGCTGGGACAGGAATATCCCATCAGGAATATCCCTGGAGTGGGACAGGGCAGGGGATTTTGGGAAGGTCTGGGGACAGGAAGGGGATTTTGGGAAAGGACACAGAGAGAGGGGACAGGAAGGGGATTTTGGGAAGGGAGAGGGAACAGGGAGGAGATTTTGGGAAAGGACAAGGAGAGGATTTTGAAAGGGGAGAGTGGGACAGGAAGGGGATTTTGGGAAGGGATAAGGAGTTGATTTTTGGGAAGGGGACAGGGAGAGGATTTTGGGAGGGGACAGGGAAAGGGGACAGAGAGGGGATGCACAGGAGGGGATTTTGGGAAGGGACACCAAGGGGATTTTGGGAGGGGAAAGGGGACAGGGAGGAGGATTTTTGGGAAGGGACAGAGGGGATTTTGTGAGGGGAAAGGGGACAGGGAGGAGTTTTTGGGAGGGCAGCAGTGCTGCCAGGAAGGCTCGTGCTGCCTGGTGCTGATGCTGCTTTTCCTTCTTCCCTTTTTTCAGACAGAAATTGCTAAAAGACTGAACACGATCTTAGCCCAGATCATGCCTTTTCTGTCACAAGAGGTAAGGACATCACCCTGCTCCAGGGGGGCCCTGGAATGGGATTGGGATCCAGGCTGGGCTCAAATGGGGGAAACAGGTGGGAAATAGGGTAAAAAATAGGGGGAAATAGGG